CCTGCCAGTCCCCGTCCAGCTCGCTGTTCCAGTCGCTCGGCTTGCTAGCGCTGGCGTCCAGGAAATGCTTCTCCCAGTCCTTCGAAGGTAGGAACACAAGGCCCGTCAGATGCAGAGGAGAGGAGAAATGAATACCTTTTTTCTTTCTTTCTATTTTTTTTTTTTTTTTTTTTGCTATAGGGCACGTATATTCGCCAGAAAGACAGACAGAAACGCAGAGATAGAAAGCGAGAAATCACCCCCCGGGGGGATGGCCATGCCACAATCCCTTCTCCTCCATTCTCCTCTCGGGATCTTGGGCACGCACACACATGCGCTCGGTGTGAGTTTAAACCACCGGGTCCGGGACTCGAACTGTGGTCAACTACACGGGAGTTTGGCGACACAGCCATTACTCTAACTGCCGTTCTCCCTTTTTTCTTTTTTTTGTGGAGAGATTTTTGCTATAGGGTACAGGTGCTTGCCTGGAGAGACAGAGAGAGACAGAAAGACAGAAAGCGAGAAATCAGCCCCCAGGGGAGATGGCCACGCCACAATCTCTTCTCCATTCTCCTCTCACGATCTTAGGCACACACGCACACGCGCCAGGCATTAAGTTTAAGCCACCAGGTCCGGGACTCAAACCACGGTTGATTACGTGGGAGTCCAGCCATGTAGCCATTACGCTAACTGCTGGTCTTGAGCTCCTATTCTTTCTAAGGCTACTCAGGAACAAAACCCCACCTGGGCTTTGTCATTAGCCTGGTCCCAAGGCCTATTCTTTCTAAGGCTACTCAGGAAAAAAACCCCACCTGGGCTTTGTCATTAGCCTGGTCCCAAGGCTTGGAATCCGCTGAAGACTTCTCCGTTTTCTTAAGAGACATTAAATTCCAGTCATACTCGATGTTGCCGGATTCGATCCCTTGACCATCGACTTTCACTTCGTAAGAAAGATCTGGCCTTAAAATCAGAGTGTAGAGGTGCGTGAAGCCGTCCACCTGCATGTTTTGGGGGAGATGAGGAGCCATGACACCTCTGGGACTTTAACACAGGTCTAAATAGGCCGTTTAAATACGTCGTCCGTTAAGCCATGAATACATATAAGAAGACAGGAGGGTGGGTAGGTGGTGTGGTGGTTGAGACGCTGGACTCCCACCTGGCTGACCACAGTTCGCGTCCCAGACCTGGTAACTTGCTTTCTCGCTTTAGCCATTCGGTGAACTGCTGGTCTCAGTAATAATACATTTTGTTTAAGTGAAAAAATATATATTTATTGAATAAAGAATTATTTTATTTAACGTTATTTATTTATTTATTTTAATTTGAACAGAGAGGGACAGAGAGAGAGAGAAAGTGAGAAAGCAAGCTACCAGGTCCAAGACTCAAACCACGGTCAACCATGTGGGAGTCCAGCGCCCTTAACCACCATGTCACCTGCCGGCCCTTAAAAAATTTATCTTAAGGGGCCAGCAGGTGGCGTGGTGGTTAAGGGCTCTGGACTCCCACATGGCTGACCACGGTTTGAGTCTTGGACATGGAGGCTTGTTTTCTCACTTTAGGGGACCAGCAGTTAGCATAATGGCTATGTCACTGGACTCCCATGTGGTAGACTGCGGTTCACATCCCAGACCCGGTGGCTTAAAACTCACGCCAGGCATGTAAACTCGCCAGACAGAGAGAGACACAGAGACAGAAAGCGAGAAATCACCCCCCGGGAGGATGGTCACACCGCAATCCCTTCTCCGTTCTCCTCTCGGGATCTTGGGCACGCATGCACACGCGCCCGGCGTGAGTTTGAAGCCACTGGGTCTGGGACGCAAACCACAGTCGATTACATGGGAGTCCAGCGACATAGCCATTACGCTAACTGCTGGTCCCCCCAAAAAAATGTATCTTAAGAGCCAAACTATTTTCACCACAATTATCAAGCAAAAATTCACACGAGTACTTATTTGACTACAAGAATAGGTACCTTACACCTGATTGATTTCTTATTCTCATGATACTGATTCTTGAAATGCAAAATAACATGAACTTTCTTGATATCAAATCCACAAATATCAGGTCCTGCAAAAAAACAATGAGATGCTTTCAATTTCTTTCCATAATGTGTCACCATAGATTAGCCACTTAACCGAAGGCTCCTTAAATACGTGAAGCCTGGGAAGCATATATGTATTATAATAGTAAGATATTGATATTAATATTAAGATGTTTTAAATTGAGGACCAGCAGGTGGTATGGTAGTTAGGGTGCTAGACTCCCACATGGTTGACCGTGGTTCAAGTCCCAGACCTGGCGGCTTGCTTTTCTAACTTTCTCTCTCTCTCTCTCTCTCTCTCTCTATTCCTCTCTGGCTAAGTTAAAATAAATAAATAAAGTTAAATAAAATAATCATTTTAAAAAAAGGTTTTAAGGGACCAGCAGTTAGCGTAATAGCTATGTCGCTGGATTCCCACGTAGTCAACCGTGGTTCGCGTCCCGGACTCGGTGGCTTAAAACTCACGCCGGGTGCGTGTGCGTGCGTGCCCAAGATCTCGAGAGGAGAATGGAGGAGAAGGGAGTGTGGCATGGCCATTCCCCCGGGGGGTGATTTCTCACTTTCTGTCTCTCTGGCAAGTGCACATACCCTATCAAAAATGTTTCTCTTTAAAAAAAAAAAAAGAGGAGACCAGCCAGGTGGCGGGATGCCTAGGGCAGCCGGGATCCACATGGCTGGCTGTACGGTTTGAGTCTGGGTCCTGTTACCTTGGGCACATGTGTGTGCATGCCCAACATTCCAAGAGGAAAGTGGAAGAGAAGGGATTGCATTGTGGCCATGCCGCCCCAGGGGGCTGATTTCTCACTTTCCCTCTCTCTGTCTCTCTCTCTCTGACAGGTGCATGGGCTCTATTTGCAAAACTACAAAAGAAAATTTGAAAAAAAAAAAAAAAAAGGAAAATATTTGTATTGACACTAACAGGGTTAAGTTGCAGTCACCAGCGTACAATGTAGGGTGTAGGACCCTCTATTCCCTAAGCTGGAATCCGGTAAGACACAAAGGAGTTCTATGATAAACATGGTTTCGAAGATGCATCTGGAACATTCATCAAATCGTCGGAGGCTGTTTGGAATTACTTTGCTATGGTGTTATTGACCTGATGCCTTGAGAATGTGCTAAAGCATCTTTCTGGAATTGCACTATTTCCACGGATCCAGGGACCGCCCCTGAGGATTCTGGGAGGCAAACCCCGTACAAACATAGCAGATGACTGTGATTTCTTCCAGATGGTTCCTCGGTGCTGCCCATAAACTTGTTGTTTTTTTCTTTTTAAAGAATTATTTTAGGGGGGGGTACCAGCGAGTGGTGTGGTGGTTAAGGCGCTGGACACTCCCACATGGCCGACTGTGGTTCGAGTCCCGGACCTGGTGGCTTGCTTTCTCACTTTATTTAAATAAAGTTAAATCTAAAAAAAAAAAAAAAAAAGCCGTGGTATGTAAACTATTTGTCTGAAAATCTTCTTCCTCAGGATGGTGACATGGAATTTGCTTTTCCTTCAAACGGGGTCAGACTTTCCCTCTCCTAAGCACCGACACCCTTTAACACATTTAATAAGCTTCAGAACATACCCTGAAAACTTAGACATTTTTCTTTAAGAGCAATAATCGAATATTTATGCATGTAATAGATTTTTTCTTCTGTTTTTGGAGAGGTTTTTGCTATAGGGTGCGTGCGCTTGCCAGAAAGACAGAGAGAGACAGAGACAGAAAGCGAGAAATCACCCCCCAGGGGGAATGGCCACACCGCAATCCCTTCTCCTCCATTCTCCTCTTGGGATCTTGGGCACGCAC